TTCTTATTCTCTTCCTTCTAACTCCATTCCAACCCCCACATTAACTCTTCTCTAGCTAATTGCTTTTTGTTCCTGTCTCAGTCGGGACACCACTTTCCCAAGAAGTCATTCCTGGCTTTTCCTCCATAAATCTGGACCATCCTCCCCTGAATATACCTATCCTTGTAGTATGATGGAGTTAATTTTACAAAGCATTACATTGACTTGTTCTGTCCCAAGATAAACCAGGCCACTAACAAATTCACTGACCACAGGAATTCCTCTATTTCAACTTCCAGTGGAGTTGGATTCTTGGATTCGGGAAGGATAGCAGTAGCACATGAACATTTAAATGACATTTCATCAATCTTAAAAGGAGTCTAAAATGAATTCCTTAAAAACGTTTATAGTTTGCTGGGCATGGTGGCACATGCCTTTAATCCCAGCACTTGGGAGGCAGAGGCAGGCGGATCTTTGTGAGTTCAAGGTCAGCCTGGTCTACATAGTGAGTTCCAGGTCAGCTGGGGCTACAGGGAGACCCTGTCTCAAAAAGACCAAAAACAACAACAAAAATGCTTAAAGTTTGTAAAGTAAGATATCTGGTATCTGACAGTCAAAATCTTCACTGAAGCATTTTCTAATTACAGTGCAGTTCCTGGACCTGATTCTAGCCAGTGAAAGAATGTAGGGATTTGGAGGAAAGTGACCATATGATGTTAAGAGTTCAGGATGGCTGAGGACCATGCTAAGTTAATGTCAGATGGATTCCCTGTCTAGACTTCAGGAAGCAGAAGCATCAAGGAAAAAAGAGCAAACTTCCCACATTTCAAAGGCAAGACACTTTCCTAAAGAACTCATGTGTCTGAACAGCAAATATTTACCAAGTTCCCAATTATTAGTTTGTAAGGAATCATAAGATGAAGTCCGTCCTTTATGCTGTCACAGTCTACTGGGAAAAGACGGATATTCAAAGAGGCCTTCTGAGGCAGTAGGAAGATCTATGCCAGTGGACCTGTTCCCCACTCAGGCCAAAGGTCTTGCTTGTCCCTTTGCTGAAGTCCTCAGATGTGTCCACGGCTTCTTGGCAGGCCCCACCCGCTTCACTCAACTTTGCTCATTCATCCATTCCTCCATCCTACTTCTCTGTTCACAGTACGTACAACTATGTGAAAACATCTGTTTACTTGTTTCTGGCTAAAGTTTATTTTGTTCAAAGTTGCTTACCCTGAGACTAGAATACTACTGGCTAATTCATTCATTCATCCACTCATTCGTTCATTCATTCATGCACTGATCTCCACCCTTGGAGGATTTATGAAAGAACAAAAACTCTCTTCTCACATAGAACATCTTTCTAGTCGAATAATGACAATAACCTTGATCAAGTGACTTATATGGATAACCTTCATACTATTTGACCATCACAACAACCCTATGAGACATATTTATAATCTCATTGTACAAGGGAGGAAGTCTATGCATGAGAGGTCAAATGAGTTATTGTTCAAGGCTAGAGTTGGTTAATGGTAGAGTCAACATTCACACCTAGGGCATCATATTCTACAATTCATTGTCTGTCTCTTGTACAAATCTAGACACATCATGTATCCAGTAAGAATTTGTAGAAACAATGGCTGAATACTGAAGAGTGCTAGGGGAATAAAGACATCAAGATGGGGCAGGGGGAAAAGTCGAGTACTTTACAGAGAAAGTGACAAGATCCTTGAAGACTAAATAAGAGTTCCAGTGGGGGGGCTGGAGTAAACCAGTGTAATTGTGGGGTGTGTATGCAGGGTGTAGGCAGGAGGCATTCCAGGTAGAAGGCAGAGCACCTCCAAAGGTATGAAGAATAGCACACAGTATTGCAGTTGAAACATAAACTGGAGGGAAGAGGTCAGAATAATAGATGCAGTTACATTGTGAAGACCCTCTTGCTACCTGAGTGGGAGTTAGATCCTGGCCACTGAGGCAACCCTTAGAAATGGCATTCTGGTTCCACAAGTAAAAATTCTGAAGAAAGTGGAATGGTACCTTTGCTGGATAATTTTAGTGTCAACTTGACACACCTGGGTTGAGGGAGCCTCAACTGGGGAATTGCCTCTATTAGACTGGTCTGTGGCCATGTCTGTGTGTAATCTTCTTGATGAGTGATGTGGCAGGGCCCAGCCCACTGTGGGTGGTACCACCCCTGGGCAGGTGGACCTCTGTTGTGTAAGAAAGCAGGCTGAGCAGGGGCCAGGGAGCAAGCCAGTAAGCAGCGTTCCTCCATGGCCTGTGCTTCCAGGTTCCTGCCTTGAGTTCCTTCCTACCTTGGGTTCCCAGATGAACTGTGACTCAGGATATGTAAGCTAAATAAACCCTTTTCTCCCCAAGTTGGTATTGGTCAGAATGTTTTGTCACAGCAATGGAGAAACAAACTAAGACAGTACCCAAATGTGTCAGAGTGACTAAATGGATTTGCCAAGGGACTCAGATTTAAAGAATCATGAACAAAAGGTCTAAGAATTGGCATACAGGAACACCCTCTCCTGTTCCAATATCACGATTTTATGACATGTCCCATCTTCTCTGCATCAATTTCTTTTTATTAAACTGAATTGTCAAGTCTCCCTTTCCAGTTAACCATGACTGCAGGGACCTTAGTAAGATCTACTGGCACTAAATTTATGATGACAGTTCCAAGATTTGAGATTATTAGCTCATTATCTCTCAAACAGATTTTCAAGCAGATGGCTTTGCCCTCTACTGCAGAGGTACAGAAACCAGCAGGAAAGCTCCTTCTAGAAGGAAGTAAATGGTGATCTCAGAAAAGGGAAGCACTGGGGAAAAACTCCGGGGATTTAGGGAAAGTGCTTGGGAATTGTAACACATACTTCCTTCACGGGCAACAGCAGATTTGCTCTGTGTATCCCCAGCTGCACACAGCTGAAGCCAGCTCAAGTGCTCAATAAGTGTTATACTAAATGAGACCAAAAATTCCAGGCAGATGGAACTATCTCACTGGGACTGAGTGAACACCTCCTCCCTGTCAACACTCAAGCACAACGCAAGTTTCTTTTGAGGACAGAAATGGCTAGAGGAAGCGAGAAAATGTGTTTTTTTACTGTTTGCAAAGATCCAGTACTGAATGGTTTATATAGAGATAAATGGTACTCTGTCCAGCTTGCTGCAGTAACTGTCAAAACACACCCTGGATTTAAAAGAAGGGCATAAGGAGCCTGGTTTCCCGGATCTGGATCCCTTACCCTTTTCTGCCATGGAAGGTATTTCATGTCCTCTTCTGCCCTCTCCGGTACTGTTTTATAACTGCTCCCAGAAGCCAGCCCCCATGCCTCTCAGTGTGGGCCAGGAAGAAGAAAGGCTAATTCATGCTAAGTTTCCAGTTTTAGAAGTGATTTCTCCTATCAACTTCCTGGGCATATAGATAAAGTCAAGTCTGTGCCCTTAAAGGAGTTTACAGTTTGGAGGGGGACTGAAGAGTTGTACATCCCAGGTAACGAGGCAGATGGATTCTGAACAGCCATCATGTTTTCCCAACATACTGTGAGGGCTGAGAGAAGAGAGGAAAGATTTTTATCTAGATTAAAAAAAAGACAGGAAAATAGAGGGGGAAGGCGAAAGGGACCAGCGGGCAGAGGGAACAACAAAGGATAATGGGAGAGCTATATATAATAAAAGCATACTTATGAATGTAGAAAGTGTCATAATGAAACCCATCACTCACTAATAAAAACAATAAACTGCAGATGAGAAAACCACAACATTAAAAAGTCACCAGGCCAATCTGCTCTGATTGAGATTTTGAAACTGCGAGAAGAAATCCTCCTTGGAATGTTTATAAGAAAATCTCAGTATTCGGAATGAATTCATAATGTGCATTTCTCTTCATGATGTGACTGCCAAATGAGATCCAAAGGAACACATGGCTGTTTCTGTTGGAAACAGGGATTATTTGGGTTGTGATTTTCCAAGCTTGAGGTGATAAAACTGTAATTGGGTAACTGTGAGTTACACCATCTATGGCTCTCAATAGTGAACTTTGAAGTGAGTGACATACAAGCTATTTACATATGGATTTCTGGGAAAAGTGCTAAGGAAAGAACAGCTACTAGGAAGCTCTGGAGAAAGTCTGAACTGTGCTAAAGAATCAACAGCTGAGTGGTTCCCTCCCTTCCTACCATGGCTGAAGCTGCTGCCAAAGCTGGAGTTCTAACTTTCCCTTAAAAAGACTGCTGATGGAAAATGTTATTTCAGGCAGAATTAAAGTTTCTGTTTTTTGTTCCAATTCCAGACTTTATCTTTCCCGTTTCATGTATGACAAGTTTGGATTTGTATAGACTAAAATAAACAAGCATATGTCAAAGGCATTCCTGCTGAACCGTGCATTCTGGGGACACATTATGAAGGGGGGAAGAAAAAACCCAAGAAGAAAAACAACATGGTCATAGGCTCACAACATAAAAGAGTTTGCATTTGTTTTTGCCCACAAGCATAATGGGCTAGCTAGATTACGGCTTGAGAATAGGAAATTCCACTAAGTCAATATTAATACGAAATTCAATTAAAAAATTCTTACTACTTAGTCATGGAAATAATTTTCTGAAAGTCGTTTCTTTACATTTCTCTGTCAACCCAATCTACTTCACCTCTCTATATACCCAAGCAAAAGAAAATGAGAAAAAGACGTATCTTTGACTTTCAAGAATGGGGCCGCTCTTGAGAATCACCTTGCCAGCGGTAGGCTGGGTGAACTGTGGGGATGCAGGAGCCCGAGGTCTCTGAAAATCTTTTCTATATATACACCCTGCCCTGGGAGTTCTCACTTTCTGGGCGCGCATACCATACTCCAAATAAAACTATCGGAAAAGAGCCAAGAGGCGCAATCCCTGGCTTCAGGCACCCGGCTGTGGCCAACTCCCTCCCGCGGGCCTCTAGGGATGCTCTGGAGAGGAGCTGCGGGGACCACCCAGCGGCGGTCCGGGTGCCCCGCGCGGCGTGGCGGGGGAGGCGCAGGTGCCCACCTTGCTCGCAGGTGCCCTTGCTGACCTGGGTGATGGCCTCCTTCCCGAGGCTCTCGGCCCGCAGGCTGGCGGCACGCAGCTGGCAGCCGCTGGGGTAGGTGGTGCCGTCGCTGCCACACACGGGGTAGCGGCTCTTGCACACGCACACGCCTCCCACAGCGGGGCCTCCGGCTGCTGCTCCGGCTTTACCCTTCCGCCTCTTGCGGCTCTTCACGCACTCCATGCCCGGCGCGCAGTGCCCCCTGCCGGCCGCGCCGCCCCCGCACGGCTCGCCCTCCCCGCGCGCGCACACCGGGCAGCACCCGCAGGCGTCGCGGGTCTCGCCCAGCGGGCAGCCCTGCTGGGGCAGCTCGGGGCAGGAGGCCGGCTCGCACGGGCCGCAGGCGTCAGAAGAGGAGGAAGAGGAGAGGGGCAGGAGCAGGAGCAGCAGCCCGGCTGCGCCGAGCAGCAGGACGCACGGCCGCTCCATGGCGGGGTGGCTGGACTCGAGCGCGAGTGAGCCGCGGGGGAGCGCGG